TCGTGTGTGTGTGTGTGTGTGTGTGTGTGTGTGTGTGTGTGTGTGTGTGTGTGTGTGTGTGTGTGTGTTGTATGCGTGTGTGTGTGTGTGTACGTTGTATGCGTGTGAGTGAGGAGGCGGACAGCGAATCAGATGCACTTTTTTCGCCACAACGCATGATAATGTGTTGAGCACAGTCGCACACACAGCCTTGCCTGTGGAGCGGGGTCATGCCGTCGCCGTCTGTGTCGTTGGGATTTGCGCCTTGCTCAAGGAGGGACTCGACGGTGGCCATGTCGCCCTCAACGATGCAGTCCATGAGCAGGTCTGTGTCTGGAAACTTGACCATGCGTTTCCGGTTCTTCTTGGGCTTGGGCAGGTCTTTCTTCTTCAACCTGTAGCCTCGCGGCGCATTGTGTACCTTGAACTCCACCTCCTGCAACACCAACCAAGGCAGTAACGTGGTTTGTTGGTGAGCCCGATGCAAATCGAGAAAATCGGGTGAACAGGGGAAGGGGGGGGGGGACACACAGGGCAACAGATGATTGAGGTGTGCACACATGTGTGTAAACACACAAGAACTTAGACAAGAACTCTCGGACACTCGCAGGCAACATATGACTGTGTACACACACATGTGCACATGTACACACACACACACACACATGTGCACATGTGCACATGTACACAGCACACACACAGACACACACACACACAGACACACACACATATACATACAAACACACAAATACATACACAGATACACACACAAATAAACGCACACACAGACAAAACACACACACCTCGCCGGATTCGAATCGCGCCAGGGTTTGCAGCTGTTCTTGTCTCCCTTGCTCTGCTGCCTTCTTGGCCTCCATCATGGCCGCCATGCTGTTGCTGCTCATGGTTGCCGTTGCTTGCTGTATTGGTTGGTGTCACCAGACGTGTGGCCTTGTGGCGGGTGGGTGGGAGTGCCAATCGAATCCTCCTTCGCCAACAACAACTTCCTCGTCTGCTTCTTCCCGTTGCTGAGGATTGTTGAATGATTTCTGCAAATGTTCGCGCTTGCCTTCGTGCTTGTTTTGTTTGTTTGCATCCATGCTCGCAGGCAAACACAAGCATTCTTCTCCTTCCTGCCTGTTTGTGGTGTTTGTGCGTGGCGTGTGCTTGACCCAAGAAGCTGGGTTGTGCTGCTCCTGGCTCTCTCGCTTCCTCTTTTGACCCCCATAACCAACGACACTGAACACGAGAACCGTGAGTTCTCCTCTTGTCTTGTGGGTGGACCTGTTGAACGCGGCCCGCAATTTAGCAAGCAAGGCAACTCCCTCAGCTCAAGAAGACTCTGTTCTCTTCTTCGACTCTGCGTTCTTCTTTCTTCAGCCAACACCACGTTCTCCCTCAATTTACGCCTACAGTACAACCACCGCACAACAACGCTGCTGCTGTTGACCAGTGGCAGAAGCACTGCGCTGCGTGAGTGAGTGTGTATTTTGTGCTTGGTGGCCGTCAGCCAGCGGTGCATTGATATTGCCTGCAGGCAACACACCAAGCGGGCAAACCGTGACGAAACGGCGTCAGCATGGCACCCGTTTCAGTACACCCACCACAGCACAGCCATGCACTTCGATGGCTCTCCACATTGCTCCTTGTTCTTGGCGTTTTCTCTTCTCTTTTGACCACAGGTATGGTGTGTGGATGGTGTCATGCAAACTGCGCAGCCGTTGCTTCTTCTTCCTTGTCTCGTGCTTGCTGTTGTGTGTTTTGGTTGTTTTCATCTCTACAACGCAGTCAATACACACATGCTTGTTTGCATTGCTACTTTCATCAACATGAGCCAACTGCTCTTGTCCCATGCACTGCACACCCCATGTATTGCTTACACACACACACACACACACGCACACTTGCACACACACACTTGCCCACGCACAGCGGCCGGTTCGGCCATTGTGCTCGCCAACAACTTTGGAACATGTGGCATTGAGCCTTCCCTCGCCATCGGCAAGTGCGGCGCCGTGCACGTGTCCTTGGACTCATGGGAGCTGCAGCTTCAGGCACCGGCCGACCTGGAATGCAAGTTCTACCACGACAGCGATTGCTCTCAAGTCGTTTCTTCGGGCCTCTCACCTGACATCTGGAGCACACCATCCTCCTCCATCCTTGCCAGAACAAACGTGCGCTTTTGTAAATGCTTAAATGGCCCTGACTGTTGTGCTTTCGTTGGTCGCTTGCTCTGTTGAACTTGCCCGCACACCTTCACAAGCTCTTGACGGTTCGTCTTCTTCGCCTTGCGACACACACACACACACACACACTCACGCACAAACACTCACGCACAACACTCACGCACACACACACACACACACACACTCACGCACAACACTCACGCACACACACACACACACTCACGCACAACACTCACGCACACTCACACACACACACACACACACACACACACTCACTCACACACGCATAACGCACACCTTCTCTCCCTCTCTCCCCTCCCCCTCCAGGTTGGCAAAGGTCGCATGCCCGTGTACTTGCGGTGCGTGGGAACACAGACGGGAACAGAGGTGGTGCTCAAGAACACATGGAACGGGATCAGCACGATCAACGAGGAAGAGTCCCTGCTTGTTGTCGAGAACCACATTGCATGCGACCCAGATCGTGAGTTGTTCACGCAGTATGTGCTGCAAACCAACTTGAAACACACCTTGAAACACGGCCTGCTGCCCGCCCTTCTGTGATTCTTGCCCCTGCTCCACCGTTTGTCCCACACACACATACACACACACACACATTGCTTGTCTTGCTCCTCTTTCTCATCACCCCCCACCCAACAAACACACACATGCACACATTACATCACCCAACACAACACCACCGCCAACAGCTGACCGCGTCGTGTTCTCGTTGAGCGCGAGCGCAACAAGCGTTGTGGAGGAAGATACACCCTCCATCACCTTCAACGTCAGCAGAACAGGGCCCACCGACGATGACGTGAGCGTTCGCCTGGCCGCCGTTGATTTCCAGGCCTCGCGCAACGCGGACTACACGCGCGCATCCGCCTCCCGGCTCATCACGTTCGCTGCGGGCCAGACTTGGGCGCAGGAAACCATCCCCATCCTGGACGATGCCTTTCCGGAGCTTGCAGAGTCGTTTGCGCTTGCCCTGACGCAACCGACCTTGTTGACAGGCTCTGGCCGCGAGGTTGTGCTTGAGGATGGTGCTGCCGTCGTCCTCATCACCATCCAGCCATCCGATGACCCGCACGGTGTCATTGCTCTCCGCAACCCCAACACCACCATCGCCCTGACTGAGCCCCTCTCTGGTGCCACCACCATCACCATCCCGCTCGTGCGCACGGGCGGGACCTTTGGCTCCGTCACTGTGGACTGGATCATTGACGGCGATGCACAGACCCACGACTTTGACGCGCTGCAAGGGTCTGTCACCTTTGGGTCTGCGGAGGCCGCCGCCAACATCACCCTGCAACTGCGCGCCGACAACCAGCCTGAGCTGCTGGAACAAAGCGTGTTCCGGCTGCTCACCGCGAGCAACGGCGCGACCGTTGACGCCGCAAGCGCAGCCCTCACCCTCACGGTTGACCCAAACGACGACCCACACGGCGTCGTCTACGTGCAGGCAAGCGAGCAGCAGCTCATCATGCACCACACTGGTCAACGCGCGCTGCGCATCCTTGCCCAGCGGTCTGCGGGCACGCAAGGCGCTGTCAACGTCACGTTCTCCGTCACCTTTGGCACGAGCAACATCATCAGCAACAACCTCGCCTGTCTGCAGCAGTTTATCATCGCCGACAGTGTCACCATCGCCATCTCACATGGCGCCGCCAGTGCAGAGGCAGTTCTTCCCTTCAGCGACACCGTGTTGCTGGAGCAAGGCGCCGGGTTTTGCCTGCAGGCAACGGCAGTCGCACTGGCAGATGGCTCCCCTGTCCTCGTGGCGTCGGATTCTTTGTCGCCTCGCCTCAACACATCGCGTGTCGACGCCCGCGTGGTTGTCGCGCGTGCGTTTGCCAACGGCGTGGTTGGCTTTGCCGGCACAAGCATCAACCAGGCAGAGCCCGCCACCCAGCAGCAGGACATCACCATCCTGCTTGTGCGCTCTGGCGGTGGTTATGGTACACTTGACGTGCAGCTTTCTCTCACTGGGAATTCAGAGTACGCCGTGCCTGGCCAGGACGTGACCCTGTCATCTAACGTCTCCCACTTTGATGCTGGCGACTCCCTCCACGAGCTCACCGTCTCCGTGCACCCCGACAACATCCCTGAGCTTGCCGAACAGTTCTTCGTCACCGTGGCGGACATTCCGTCCGGCCGCGCCGCCATCGACTCGGACTCCTCTGTTCTCACCGTCACTGTCCCGGTGCGCTGAGATGATGACATGGGTTGTTTTTGGAAGTGAAATGGATGTCTCGTGCTCCAATAATTTCCATACACACACACACACACCCAATTTGCATGCATCCGCTTGCACACAAACGCACACACACACACTCACATGCACACACACACGTATACATACACACTCTCACAAATGCACATGCACACACATACACACTCACATAAACACATGCACACACTGTACTGCACTGCAGAAAAATGACGACGCAAATGGCGTGCTTGGGTTTGAGGTGACGGGCTACCGTGTGTCGGAGACGGACCCGAGCGGACATGTGGTGCTCAACGTGACAAGGACACGCGGGGCGTTCCAGTCTGTGAGCGTGGCGTTTGCCACGAGCGACGGCACGGCGGTGGCCGGGACCAACTACGAGGCGCAGAGCGGGACGCTTGTGTTTGGGGAAGGGGAGCGGAGCAAGGAGATTGCGGTTGGGGTGCTGGATGCGGGGGCACCGCGGGCGCCTGTGCGAACGCTGACGGTGACGCTGGGACAAGTGATTGGCGGGGCGCGGGTGGCGGCCGCATCTGCCACAGCCACCGTCAACATTCAGTCCTGCCACCACTGCAGCTTCAACATCATCGACTCGCCGTCCCCGCTCGTGACAGCGGAGCCAGCAGGCACCAACACGGCCGACGTGACGGAGGTGGCTATCCCTGTGCGGCGAACCCCAGACACCTTTGGGCCCGCCACGCTCCACTGGACGGTGTTTGAGAATGACCCTGCCACTGGCGACATCACTGCCGTGCAGGCGAGCATGGACTTTGTTGACGCCACTGGCGCGGTGTCCTTCGTGCATGGCCAGCAGGATGCCGTGGTTGTGCTGCACATTCGCAACGACAACGAGCCTGAATTGACAGAGCGCTTCAGCCTGGTGCTCGTCTCAGTGGACGGTGATCCATCGCTTGGAATCAACGCAACCCTGCCCATCGACATTGTTGCCAACGACCTGTGCTTTGGCAGCTTCTCGTTCTCGGCATACCCTGCGGCAGTGACTGTGTATGAGCCCCAGGACCCGTCCAGTGGTGCTCGCGTGCACACCTTCAACATCACACGTGCGCGTGGCACATTCAACAGCGTTCGTGTCTCGCTGGAGCTGCAACTCCTAACGGCAGGCGACAGCGCTGCAACAAGCGACGACGCTGTTCTGCTCACACCATCTGTTGTCTTCGCCGAGGGCCAGACCTCTGCTCTTGCGCGCGTCTCCGTCACCAACGACAACATCCCCGAGATTGCAGAGAGCATCATTCTGCGCGCAGCAAGCGTGGCTGTGCTCAACACAAACGAGACGGTCACCTCAGACCTCGTCACCATCGACGACACGGACGACTACATTGAACTGGTGATTGCGGAGAACGACGACGCGCGGGGTGTTGTGTCCATCCGCCCGCTCGCCCTCACTGCCAGTGAAGGCGGTGCGCCCTCCGATGTACAGTTCACCCTCACCCGCACACGTGGTGTGTTTGGCGTCGTCACGGTGACGGCTGGCCTCGTGTCAGTTGCGAGTGGCACTGCTGGCGTGAACGCAAGCAACGTCGCCACTCTCTCGGGCCCGGAGCAAGACGCCTTCCTTCCCATGCCCACTGTCACGTTTGTCGAGGGCCAAACCGAGGCTATGCTCTCTGTTGGCGTTGTGGATGACGACCTGCCGGAAGTGGACGAACAACTGCGCGTTGTCCTCGTCAACACGACCGGTGGCCTAGTCGTCGGTGCCAACGACACGGCTGTGCTCACCATTGCTGCCAGCGACGCAGCGTTTGGCGACCTGTCCATCACCAACGCCTCCACCCTTGCTGTGCTGCACGAGTTGGAGGGTGAGGACGCCATGTACGAGCTGGAGGTTCTGCGTGGTGGCGGTGATTTTGGCACCATCACGGTGGAGTGGCATCTGGAAGTGGTCACGCCTGGCGACGGTGGTACCACGTCCTCACCCCTCGTCCTTGGCAGTGACATCTCCCCATCGTCTGGGACGTTGACGTTTGCGCCCGGTCAGCGACGCGCTGTGGTTGCGCTCACCGTGTACGCCGACAACATGCCAGAGACGAACGAGGAGGCCTTGCTCGTGCTGAGCAGCCCGACAAACGGCGCGCAGCTGCAGGCCAACGCCACGTCACGCCGGGTTGTGATTGAGGCAAACCAGGAGCCGCACGGCGTGGTCTCGCTGGCAGACGCCACCATCATCGTGGACGAGGGCGCCGGCACGGTGTCCGTGGCCGTGACGCGCGAGAGTGGCGCCATTGGCCAGATCAGCGTCGATGTCACCGTGCGTGGCGTGTCCGCTGCGGGCGGTGGTGTGGATTTTGCAGCCACCAACACCACGCTGGTGTTCGCGCCGGGTGTTCGCCAGCTGGCGCACCCCATCACCATCATCGACGATGATATCCCAGAGCTGGACGAGACGCTGGTTGTGTCGCTCAGCAACCCCACGGGCGGCGCGCTGCTTGGCGCCATCACTCAGACAGAGATCACCATCTTCAACAACGACGATGCGTTTGGGCTGGTGCGCGTCGCCAACACCACGCCCGCAGATGTCGCGGCGTTTGACGAGAGCGCAGCAGACAGCAGCATTGTGTTTACAATTGTACGCGATGCGGGCGCCTTCACCTCCATCTCCGTGCCCTGGTCCCTGCAGCAGGTGGCCGGGTCATCTGCCGCCACGCCCGATTTCGATGTCACCGCTGGTGTCGTGCAGTTTGCAGAGGGCGAGCGTGTTGCCACCATCACCGTGCACGTGCTCGATGACGACGTGCCCGAGGACGACGAGACGTATCAGCTGGTGCTCAGCAGCGTCACTGGCAGTGCGCGCGCACATCCGCAGCTTGGTCGCCACAACGTCACCATCGCTTGGAACGACAACGCCTTTGGCATCATCAGCGTGCAGGCGGGCGCGCGCAGCCAGCGCGTTGCTGAGAGCGATGGCAGCGTCTCCATTCCTCTGCAGCGCACGCAGGGCACGTTCCGCCGTGTTGGTGTCAACTGGGTCATTGCCGTGGCCACGGTGAGCTCTGGTGACGTGAGCCCCACATCCGGCACCGCGTACTTCGAGCCCGGCAGCGACACCGCCGCCATTGTCATCTCCATCACAGATGACGCAATACCAGAGGTTGACGAAGGGTTCACAGTGAGCCTGCAGAGCGTCACCGTTGCCGGTGCCCTGCTTGTGTCCGATTTGAATGCTCTGCGTGCAGATGTCACAATCGTTGCCAACGACGACCCGCACGGCGTGATCAGCCTGCGCAGCGGCAGCGGCACGCTTGCGCTGACCAGCGGTGGCCTGCGCTCACTCCGCGTGACACTCGACCGCAGCGGTGGCACCATCCTTCCCATCGACATCACCTTCTCCGTGCTCATGTCACTGCCGCCTGGTGGCGTACAAGCCAGCAGTGGCAGCGGCGGCGGTACAGCAGAGCGCTCTCCCTGCCAGGCCCAGACCATCGTGTCCAGCCCGCAGACGGTGACCATGGGCGACAAGCTCGCGTCACGCGTCGTGAGCCTGCTGATTGAGGAGACGGCCGTGCTGGTGCAGGACGCCGTGTTCTGCATTCAGCTCGACTCTGTCGTGCTCTCCCGCGATGGCTCGCACACCAACACAAGCACGGGCCCGTCACCAAGCTTGGCGGCGTCCATGGATGCCCGTGCACTCAACGTGTCTGTGAGCAGTGCGTATGCCAACGGCCTTGTGGCCTTTGGCGACACTGCGGGGACCGTGCACGTGACGGAGGCAGCAGACCTTGACGCACCCGAGACACAGCTTGTGCCTGTGGTGCGGAGCGACGGCAGCTTCGGCGATGTGGCACTGGCGTGGGAGATTGTGCCCTCACACACGGGTGACTTTGACGCTGTGAGTGGGACCGTGATGCTGCCGTCTGGGCAGTCGTTTGCGTCCATTCCCATCACCGCCGTGAAGGAGCAAGTGCCAGAGCTTGACGAGCTGTTTCAGCTGCGCCTGACGGGCATCACCAGCGGTACAGCAACGCTGGGCGCCGGTGTCAACGACACACGCGTGCAGCTGCTCATCCCCGCCAACGATGATCCGTTTGGCGTGCTTGGGTTTGAGGTGACGGGCTACCGTGTCTCGGAGACAGACCCGAGCGGACATGTGGTGCTCAACGTGACAAGGACACGCGGGGCGTTCCAGTCTGTGAGCGTGGCGTTTGCCACGAGCGACGGCACGGCGGTGGCCGGGACCAACTACGAGGCGCAGAGCGGGACGCTTGTGTTTGGGGAAGGGGAGCGGAGCAAGGAGATTGCGGTTGGGGTGCTGGATGCGGGGGCACCACGGGCGCCTGTGCGAACGCTGACGGTGACGCTGGGACAAGTGATTGGCGGGGCGCGGGTGGCGGCCGCATCTGCCACAGTCACCGTCAACATTCAGTCCTGCCACCACTGCAGCGTCTTCCTTGATCCTACGCAGGACCTGTTTGTTGGCGAGGAGCCTGCATCCCCTGATCCCGCCGATGCCACAGGCATTGACGTGCGTGTCCTGCGACAGCCAGACAGCTACGGCTCTGCGCTTGTTGGCTGGCGGGTGGTGCATGCAGGCACCAACACGCTTGCAAGCGACGACTTTGTGGATGCCAATGGCACGGTGACGCTGGAGCACGGGGAGACCGAGACGACGCTCCGCCTGCTGCCGCGCGCTGACGCCACCCCAGAAACAGCGGAGGCATTTGAGGTTGAACTCACCAGCGTGAGTGGGGACCCGTCTCTCGGCAGTGACGATGTGCTGGAGCCTGTCACGCGCAATGTGCAGCTTGAGCCCAGCGACCAGCCGTATGGGTTGTTTCGTATCGGCACCGCATATGTGCGCGACGGCAACAGTGGCGCGGTGAACTCTGTTGCCGGTACTGCCGATTCCGTGTCCACACAGGAAGGCGACACGGTGCAGGTGACCATTGATCGGCAGCACGGCACGCTCGGCGCTGTTGACGTGTACCTGATGCTGCTGTCCCTTGCGGGCGAGGTTCCTGCCGACAACGCTGCAACCCCTGGCGATGACATTGCTATTCTGCACAGTGCTGGGATTGGTGCTGTTCGGTTCGCAGATGGGCAGACGCGTGCCAACGCAACGCTTGCCATCATCGACGACGGCCTGCCTGAGCTGGACGAGCGTCTGGTGGTCGCCCTGTTGAATGCCACCATTGTCGGAGACACCCTAGCAGCGAGCATGGATGCGCGGCGTGTGCGTGTGTCCAACACGACGCGTGAATCTGGCCTCACCATTGCTGTCGAAGAGAACGACGACGCACATGGGGTGTTTGAGCTCTCTGCACCGTCCCTCGCCAACGAAACGTTGAGCGAAGGTGCCGTGGCCACTGTGACTGTTGAGCGCAGGCGCGGCACGTTTGGCGCTGCTGGTGTCTCTCTCGTGCTTTCTTCAGTTGTTGATGACGACAACACGGCGACAACGGACGCTGTGCTCTCGCAAACAGACATCACATTTGTGGAAGGCGAGAGCTCTGTGCAGGTGACCCTGACCGTCCTGGACGATGCTGTGCCCGAGGATACAGAGTCGTTTGTGCTGTCCTTGTCTGCGGGCAGCGTGACTGGCGGTGCGCGGCTGTCACCAAACGCGTGGGCCACACAGGCGGCGTTCTCAGTTGCGCCCAACGATGATCCCTTTGGCGTGTTCACGCTCGCGCAGCCGCTGTACAGTGTGGACGAGCCAGCCAACGTCACTGTCACGGTGCTGCGGTCTGCTGGACTGTATCGCACCGTGTCCATCCCGTGGCAGGTGAATCAGAATGCCACATCTCCAGATGTCGCACCAAGCAGCGGAGTGGTCGTGTTCGTGCCGGGCCAGACAGAGGCGTATGTGCAGCTCACTGTCATCGATGACAGTATTCCTGAGGACCGTGAGGACGTGGTATTCACGCTGCAAGCGCCCACGTCGCCCGTTGCACGCATCGAGCGCAACACCACCACCATCCGCATTGCCGCCAACGACTTTGTCAACGGCGTGCTTGAGTTTGAACCTGGTCTGAGTGTGCTACGTGTGGGCGAGGACGTGGGCTTGTTTTCCATCACCGTGCGCCGGCGTGGCGGTACGCAGGGCACCGTGTCTGCGGCGTACGAGACGCTTGACCTGACTGCAACGCGCAGCAGCAACGACTACGCGTATGCCCAGGGCAGGGTGGAGTTTGCGCCTGGCGAGACGGAGCAGACCATTTCCCTCATTGTGGTTGACGATGACGTTCCAGAGGATGATGAGCGGTTTCTTCTCGTCCTCTCTGACGCCCAGGGCGGCGCCGTTCTTGGTCTCTCCTCCCAACGTAAGCACGCGCGCATGTGCGTGTGTGTGTGTTTATGTTCGTGTTGGTGTGTGTGTGTGTGTTGTGCTTGTGTGTATATGTGTGTGGTTGTGCTTGTGTGTATGTGTGTGTGTGTGTGTGTGTGTGTGGTAGTGCGTGTGTGTGTATGTGGACACGCTCATGTGGACACGCTCATGCGTTATGCGTTCCTTGGTTGCATCATCTCACACTTACATTCACACCATCACCTTCCCACCACCCCTACCCATCACTCCCCCCCCCAAACAAAACCAAACACAGTTGAAGCTGAGGTTGCTGCGTCGGAGCGGGCCAATGCCGCTGCTGTTGCCGCAGCCGATCTGGTCACGCTGCGCGAGATGCAGGTGACAAACCTCTCGGCAAATATCACTGCGCTCGAAGCAAAGCTGGACCGCCTTGCTGATGCCATTGCCAGCAACGAGACAAGCGCTGATGCTGTTGCTGCAGACCTTGCTTCCGCACGTGCGCTCCTGGCAGAGGAGAACGCCAACCTGACTGCGGCACAGACACTGGCGCAGCAGCGGCAGGCCAGCCTCCAGGCAGCCTCGTCCGTGCTGGACTCCGCGCTGGCCACACGCACGTCCATTGCAGAGCAGTTGGATGACGCCACGACGGCGCTGAACTCCGTGGTCCGACGCGTGGTGGACTTCACACAGGAGCCAGACACCATTGATCTGGCTGCACAGCTGCCGGCGCCGGAGAGCGAAATCGAGTACTATGCTGGCCTTGTTGTCACCGCCGTGTACTACACGCAGCCAGACAGCCCCACACCCCGCTCCATTGCTGTGCGCGAGGGGCTTGGCTTTGGTGTCGTTGGCTCCGCCTGTGGCGGCACGTGCTTCACGGGACTGCACGAGGTGCGACTGGCATTCAACACCACCGTCTCCAACGTCGTGTTTGAGAACAGCTTCACAGACTCGGAGGAGCCCCTCGGGCCTCTCGCTGTCACCATCTATAACCTGGATGGCACCGCCATCGACACCGCCATGATGCAGCGGGACGCCGTGTTCAACAACGCCTACAACATCTCTGCTGCGTTCCCCGGCGTTCGCATTGGCGGCTTTGCCGTGCAGGCAACCGACTCGATTGTGCGCTTTGCCTCTGTTTCCTTTGATCAGGTGGAGGGTGGCAGCTATGAGGATGCGCTTGCACGCGTCAACACGTATTCGTCACAGCTCTCCGCTGCCGATGTTGCCGTGTTTGACGCCCAGCAGCAGGCAGGGCTCGCCGCCCAGGCCTACGTGCAAGCGGCTGCAGCGTTGTCGCAGCAGTCTGCAGAGACAGCGGCAGCACAGCAGCAGGAGCAGACGCTCAGCCAACAGGCCAGCGCACTCAACGCCACGTTGCTCATGTTGCGCACGGACAGCCGGCAAACCCAGTCCCTGCTCAACTCGCAGCGCCAGCGCTACGCGGACCACACCTTGCTCCTGCAACAAGCCGAGAACGAGCTCATCCAAGCGCAGGAGCAGGCAGACCAGCTGGCCGCTGCCGTGACAGAGGCGCAGCAGGCGGCCGTGTGCCCTGACCTGCAGTGCGTGTCCAGCATCACCGTGGAGATTGCACACAACGATGATGCCTTTGGCGTCTTCTCCATCAACGCGACTGCGGCTGTGGCCTCGGCCACCGCAGGCGAGGGCCAGGCCTTTGTTGTGCCCGTCGTGCGTGCTGCCGGCACCTTCCGCGCAGTCTCACTGCAGTGGCGCCTCAACTTTTCCTCCACAGCGTCACCAGCAGACATTGCTGCGCCCACCACGGGAGCACTCACGTTCTCGTCGCGTCAGACGAGTGCTGAGCTTGTGCTTCCCATTGTTGACGACGCAGTGACAGAGGAAGCAGAACACCTGAGCGTGATCTTGACAAATGTGTCCCTGGGCCGGGTTGAGGACCCCAGCTCGCTCACACTCACCATCGACGCCAGCGATGCCGTTGGCATCTGCACCCCAACATCGTGCGCCAACAACGCCACATGCGTGGATGGCGTGTTTGACGTCACGTGCCTGTGCCAGCCTGGTTTCGCCGGCGACCGCTGCGACATCAACATTAACGAGTGCGCAAACGTGACCTGTTTCAACGGCGGTACCTGCGCGGACCGGATTAACGACTTTGACTGCGCGTGCATCAATGGCTTCCAGGGCAAGCTGTGCGAAATCTCACCGCTGTGCGACCAGGGCGAAACCTGGTGCTTCCGCAGCAACGCGTGCGTGCACACCGCCATCTCGCAGCAAACATGCCAGGTGCCGTGCGACAGCGAGACGCACGTGTTCTGCTTTGCGTCCCAGACGTGCCGCCCCCGCGTCGTTGCTGACATGCCATGCCCCGTTCCTGGACCCGCGCCGCTCATCACAGCACCGTTCGCCATCAGCGTCGCCGAGGACACGGCTGTGCTCACGTCGCTGGCGAGCGTGTACGCCACCCCGCGGCACCGCTGGGGTGAGAACATCACCTACTTCATCGAAGATGTAGGCATGGGCGGCGGTGCTGCTGGCGACGTTGCCAACACAACGGTTGCTGGCCCCTTTGCCATTGACACGCTGACCGGTGTGATCTCCCTCGTGGGGCTCTTGGATCGGGAGCAGGTGGACGCGTACACGCTCCTCGTGACTGCTGTCGACTCTGCACCAGACCACAAGACAAACAGCACCACCGTCACAGTGGTGGTGACCGACGTCAACGACAACAGCCCCACGTTCGCGCCCGCCACCCCAACCGCGGTATCCGTGCTGGAGAGCGCGTCTGTGGGCACACAAGTCGCGCAACTGGTGGCGAGTGACCCGGATGCAGGGGCCAACGGCAACGTGCGCTTCACACTTGACGCCGGCAACGCACTGGGGTCATTCCAGCTCGACTCGTCATCTGGTGTGCTCAGCGTTGCTGGCACGTTGGACGGCGATCAGCAGACGTCGTACACGCTCACCATCTCCGCACACGACCAAGGAACACCTCCGCTCACAACCACAACAACGCTGGAAGTGAACGTGGTCGTGTACCCACCACCCGCCTTTACAGACGGAGGCAGCTACACAGCAGGGTTCCCTGAGGAGGCAACAGGGCTGGTGGTGCGTGTTAGCGCTACAGTCCAGCACCCGTACAGCAACGACGCCGTGATGTACGCCGTTGTGTCTGCGGAGACAAGCGAGGGTGATGACGTGACTTCACATGTTGGCGTCAACAGCACCGGGCACATCCACGCCACGCAGGCACTGGACCGCGAAAGTTACGCGTTTGTCGTTGTCACTGTTGCTGCCACAGATTTTGCACCGCTGCGCAAGACCTCGCTGGCTGTTGTGAACGTGACGGTGGTGGATGTGAACGACAATGCGCCCGTGTTCGACAGCAGCGTTGCAGATGGGGTGCTGGTGTTCGTGCGGGAGGAGGACGCGCCAGGCACCCTGGTCACAGACGAGCTCACGGCACAGGACGCGGACCAGGGCGACAACGCCCGCATCACGTACAGCATCGTGAGTGGAAACACGGGCAATGCGTTCAGCATCGACGCAGACACGGGCGTGGTGACGCTTGCCGCACAGCTCAACGGCAGCGTTGTGGACGAGTACGTGCTTGGTGTTGAGGCGCGTGACAACGCGGCGCACGTGAGTGACCAGCTGTCTTCGGTTGTGAGCGTGAACGTGAGCGTGGTGTACTTTGGGGCGCCCGTGTTTGGGGCACCGTCGTACCGCGGGAACGTGAGCGAGGACGCAGGCGTGGGGACGGGTGTTGTGCGTGTGTGTGCGACGGCACAGCACGACGGAGCAGACCAAGGGATTGACTTTGCGATTGTGAGCGGGAACGTTGGGGGTGTGTTTGGGCTTCGCATGGGCAGCGACAACGTGAGCGCGGAGGTGTATGTGGCGGGGCCGCTGGACCGCGAGACGCGCGGGGTGTATGTGCTTGGGGTGGTTGGGCGGGACCGAGGCCCGCTGAGGAAGCGGAGCGGGGTGGGCGTGCGTGTTGATGTGCTTGATGTGAACGACCACGTACCGGTGGTTGTGGGTGCCGATGGCGGGGAGAGCGGTGGGTGGCCCGAGCCTGTTGTGCGGATGGAGGTGCGCGAGGAGGCGAGCGTTGGGAGCGTTGTTGGGGTGATTGTGAGCGAGGATGGTGATGCTGGAGCGTATGGGACGGTGACTGTGTCTGTTGGTGCGACGCGTGTTGGCGGCGGGGACTTTGGAGGGGTGTTTTCGCTTGACGGCGGGAGCGGGCGGGTGCTCGTTGCTGGCGTGCTTGATGGGGCTGAGACGCCCGAGTATGTGGTTGAAGTGATTGCGCGGGATGGCGGGGGCCTGACCTCCAACGCCACCCTCATCATCACCGTCATCTACTTCAACGGGCCCCGGTTCAACGCCACTTCCTACGCTGCAACAGCAGCGGAAGACGTGGTTGTAGGTGCCACCATCGTCAACGTCTTTGCGGTTGCGCGTCACGACCAGCTAGATCGCACCATCGACTACAGTCTCGCAGACTCGCTTGGACTGTTCGACGTGACTGCTGATGGCCGCATTGTTGCTGCTGCGCCACTTGACTACGAGACAGCCACATTGCACGAACTGACGGTCGTGGCGACTGATCACGGCCCATTGCGCAAGTCCAGCAACGTCACTGTCGTGGTCACTGTGACTGATGTGAACGACAATGCACCCGAGTTTTCGCCGCCCTCCTACACATTTACCATTCGGGAAGACGCGAGCGAAGGCGTTGTTGTTGGCAGCGTGAATGCGTTTGACCTTGATTCTGGCGCCAACGCCGCTCTGCACTTTAGCACCGACTCGCCCGCATTTGCTGTTGCTTCGCCCTCAAGCAGCGGTGTCACGACCGTTGACGTTGTGGTGACGGCATATGGGGCTGTAACCCTGGACGGCCTGCAAGAGCCAACAATTACCTTGACAGTGACTGCCAGGGACGGTGGCAGCCCTGCCCTCTCCTCCACGGCGACAGTGACCATCGATGTGACGCTTGTGCCGACGGTGCAAGCGCCATACTTGAAGCTGTACAACACGCTCAGCGCAGCGTCTGGGTTTATCCCAGCCGAGTTTAGCAGAGACGTGTCGTCGCTCGCGCTGGTGTCGGACTTTGACACGCGTCACGGCGTGTGGGACATCAGCGTGGATGACGGGTCCACGTGGACACGTGTCAACACTGGCGCGCGATGGCGTGACAACACGGCGCTCGTGCTGCGGACGGGGGAGAGCAGCAGCACTCTGTTGCGGTTTGTGCCCACGGAAGGATTTGCTGGCGTTGCCACGGTGCATGTGCGTGCGTACAACGGGGACAACGCCACCATCACTGGCGCTGCTGCAGGTGCTGCTGCCGATGCACTCGTTGACGTGGGCGCAAGCCCCGATACCTTGCATGATGTCAGCGGCAATACCGCCCTGGGCGTTGTGTTCGTCGCCGCCCCGCTCAGCAGCGTGCAAGTTGCAGAGAGCACGAACGTGACCGTGGACCTGCCAAACCTGCTTGAAGACACATCGCTGCTGCAGAATGTCGGCGTGCAGCTGACATCACTCCTGCAAGGTCACCTGCAATTTGCCACGGTGAGCGGCCCCGCGACGGGCATGGCTGCGCTCACCACTGGCGGCTGCGATGGTACCGGTACATGGTGTAACAGCACGGCCGTTGCTGTGATGTTCCCAGACGATGTCGACACGCTCGTGCAGCCGCGCGATCACGGCATCGTCGTTGAGAGCGTATCGGAGAGCGCCGGTGTGTGGCAGAGCCGAGCAGCGTCCGTGACTGGGTTTGAGGAGACACTTGTAGGCGATGTGGTGCCGCTGCAGTCGCTGCTGCGGTTTGTGCCGGCGGCAGAAGAGAATGGTCTGTTTGAGATGGTGGTGCGCGGGTGGCATGGAAAGCTGCATGCGCTCGCACGGCAAGCGAGCACGACAGCCCACACCATCACCATTCGCCAGAGTGTGGTCGCAGTTGCAGATGCCCCACGTGCGCTGACTGCGAACGTGACGCTGGCGCCCGTGCCATACGAAGTGACAGCGCAGACGGCGAACGGATCGCGCGTTGACGAGAGCATTGCTGGGCATGCGGTGGATGCAGATGGGCAGGCCATTGGCCTTGCTGTTGTTGGCGTCGCAAACTGTATCACAACAACAGCCACAGCAACAAGCAGCAGTAACGGTGACAGATGCCGCGGATCGTGGCAGTATCTGCTTGATTCGACGCAGGAGTGGCGTGCGTTCCCACTGGATGCCAGCGACCAGAAGGCGGTGCTGCTGGCGCCCCACTCGCGTGTGCGCTTCGTCCCACTGCCCAACTACTTCTGGCCACGCGGCAATGCCTCGGTGTGGCTGCGTGTGCGCTACTGGGATATGAGCGTGGGCCGAGCCGGTGACACGGCTATGCTTGCAGACGCCTCGGCACCGCAGCAGCTGCTGTTCCCAACAGCCTTCAGCAGCCGCGTTGTGAGCGTGTTTGTGGACCGCCTTGGCTGTGACGGTGAGGTTGGCAGCCAGCTGTCCGTCGATGCGTGCGGGGTGTGCGGCGGAAACGGCAGCGCGTGCGCTGGGTGCGATGGCGTGCTTGCGTCCAATGTGCAGGAGGATGCGTGTGGGGAGTGCGGTGGTGATGGCTCGTCCTGCATGGGGTGCGACCTTGTTCCGCTGTCCAATGCGCAGGTGGACGAGTGCGGCATCTGTGGCGGTCAGAACCTGAACAAGGACTGCGCTGGCGTGTGTTTTGGGGTGGCGTCGCGAGACGACTGTGGCGCCTGCTTTGGCGGAGACGCAGAGCGCCAAACACCCGACCTCGACAAGGATTGCGATGGCGTGTGCTTTGGCGCTGCGTTTGTGGACGACTGTGGCGCGTGTGTTGAAGGCGCAACGGGCCTGAGTGCCAACTACAACAAGGACTGTGCTGGCGTGTGTTTTGGTGGCGCGCAGATCAGCGACGTGTGTGCGCTGCAAGGCGTGTCGTATTGCGGTGAGCCCGTGCTCGACTGCAGTGGTGAGTGCTTTGGTTCCCGTATCGTGTCGAGCTGCGGTGATTGCGTGCAGCCGGACAACGCGACGCTCCTTGACTGCGCCGGCGTGAGTGGCGTGACACCTCGTGTCGTGCCCGTATCCTCTGCCTCTGTGCGCTTCACAATCGCTGGGAGCGGTTTCCCGCCAGATGTCGGCGCACGCGACGTGACCTGCCGTGCCGTCAGCAGCAGTGGCCGTGGCAGCGTCACTGGATATGGGTGGGTGGCGTCTTCGACCACGATCACGTGCGTGTTCTCGACGCTGACCGTCGGTGATTATGACCTTGAGGTGGAGCTGCACGGGTCTGCCCTGTCATCGTCACCATCATCATCATCATCATCGTCACTTGCCGTTGCTGTGGTGAGTGATGCTGCATCTGTTGGCGCCCCGCCCACGACCAACGTCAATGCGTTCCCTTACGACACGCAGACGTTCAACCTCTTTGCCGTGACGCCGTCCTCTGCCCCACTTGCCAATTTGAGCGAGGCCGTGGACGCTATTCGCGTGTCCGGCGCGCTGTCGTCGTTTGGCCCTGCAGACGAGACCACAGGGTGCCTGTTTGTGACGAGTGACACGGGCCTGCTCGGTGTGGTCTCTGGGCAGTGGTTTGCGCGGCGTATCAACTGCGTCGCTGGGCCGCTGCAGTTTGCGCGACAGATTGAGATTGACATTGAGGATGACGAGCAGCAAGCGTTCACCACGCTGGATGCTGTGGAGAGCCACCTGCGCCAGGCCCGCCCCGACATTGCCAGCGTCACCTTCACTGTGAGTGGTGATGGCGACGCGGCCTCGGGCAAGCCGCTGCCCACCGGCAGCAGCGTGCTGGTGGAGTTCTCAGCGGACCTGAACCAGATTGCGTGCTTGGAGGCATCGATGGCCACCATCAACGCCCTGTTTGGCCTCTTCCCACGCGTCTCCAGTGGAAGTGCTGGAAGTGCTGCTGATGCTGATGCAAATGCGGTCCCCACGCTTGTTGGCAGTGACGTCCTGTCACTGTCATCTTCCGAGGTCGTGTGTGCCGTGCCTTCAGTGCAGCGCTCAGCGACCATGGAGGTGATGCTGGTGCACCAGGGTGTGGTGGCGGCTGCTTCAGGCACCACGCCCACTGTCACGTTTGTGCACCGCGCTGCACAGGCCAGTGCCCGCTTCTCTGCCTCTGGCCGCCACCTTGTGGTTACGTTTGACGTTGGCGTGCTGCCTGTGGAGCCGTGTGCCGCAGTGTTCACGGCGGCATCACGGAGCGCGCTGGATGCAACCGCGTGCACGTGGACGACGCACACACTGACCGTTTCCCTGGGCCGCAACGCAACCCTGCTGCCTGGCGACCGCGTGTGGTTTGCACCTGTGGACACCAGCGGTGATGTGGCAGCGGACACCCTCAGCACAGGCGCAGGCATTCACGTGGCCGGTGAGCTGCACAGCTACGCCGTGTCTGGGTCTGTCGTCGTTGGCCTGCCTGATGACTACCAGCCCTCCATCCCCCGCTTCACGCTGCCGCAACAAGTACGGGCGTGCGCAGGGCTGCTGCTGGATGCCAGCGCATCACACGTGGCAGCCGGGCGTCCAGCCACGTTCCACTGGAGTGCACTGGCCCACGGAGGCGAAGATACGACCGCGCTTGAAGCGCACCTTGCCAGCGTGTCTGGTAGCAGCGATGGCCCTGAAGGCGTCGTGGTGGAGGTTGCAAGTTCCCTCCTGCGTGCGGGCACAACATACACGTTTGGCTTGGCCATTGAAGACGCGCTGGGCGTGCGCAGCAGCGTCGTTACGGTGGACACGACGGTGATGGTACAGGGCAGCGTTGGCGGTGGTGCACAACAGGTCGCGTCGCTTGAGATCCTTGGTATTCCGCCTGTCCTGCATGCGTCGTCAGATCTCACCGTCCGTGTGCGCCCCGTTGCGCCGCTGCACGGGAACACGTGTGCGGGCGAAAGCCTTGGCACAGCGATTGCTGCTGCTCTTGGTGCTGCGAGCGGCACCAGCGCAGATGTGCAGTACTGCTGGCAACTCTCGCCGGCCCGCGCGTCCAATGGCGGAGCGCCGCTGGCTGTTGCTTCTGCATGTGCGCCAACACCGTGGTTTACAGTTTCGGGCACACTGCTGCTGCCCCATCAGCAGCACACGCTGACGGTGACGGTGCGAGTGACATCGGAGGATGCCGAGGCACCCGTGCTTGCGTCCACCAGCACCGTGTTTGACGTCGTGCCAACGCCGCTTGAGGCGAGCGTGCTTGGCGGTGACTTGCTGGGCGGGCGGCGCACGGTGCCATTGGACGCCACCATCAGCTTGGATGCGTCTGTGTCCTCTGATCCCGACGCCACGGACGAGCTGGAGCTGTTTGGCTGGCGGTGCGAAGACATTGCCCTGAGCCAGCCATGCAGCACGACAGCAAACGGCAATGTGCCCAGCGTGCTGCTCTTCCCTGCCACGCCGCAGCTGTCGCAGGCTGCGGCAGACTTTGGTGCCGGCAGCTACCGCTTCACGGCCACGTATCGCAAGGGCGGCCGCTTTGTGGACGCACGCGCCGTGGTGGAGGTGGTGGAAGCGCCAGTCGCACCCCAGCTGCGCGTGTTTGGGGTGGCGCAAGGGTATGTGCCCACGCCCACAGAGCACGTGTTCCTGCCCCACGCCGTGGTCAACCCGTCCCTGCCCGTGACGGTTGTCGTGGAAGTGACACACGCGTCCGCGCTCGCATCTGCGACATGGTCCGTGGTCGCCGACAGCAGCAGCGGCAGCGGTGGGAATGAAGATGAGGAGCCGTTGGCGTGGCTTGACTTGGAGGCAACCGCTCTGACGCCACTCACGTACACGCAGGCAGAATTGGCTGCACTGGTGACGTTGGACGACGGCACCCAGCGCACGTTCCTGCAGCTCACCCTGCCCCCAGATGCTGTCGTGTCTGGCGCAACGTACCGCTTTAGGTGCACGGCAGCGACGGCCGCTGAGCACGGGTTTGCCGAGGCGACGGTGGTGGGCAACCACGTGCCGTCTGGTGGCGCCCTGGATGTGGTGTCGTGGACAATGACGAACAATGGCATGGGCGTGACACGCGCTCGCCTGACTGCTCAGGGCTGGGGTGACGCTGACCTGCACTATCCGCTGATGTATCGCTTTGGCGTTGGCGCTGACCCAGCCACGCGCGTGTGGCTGACGACGTTTGATTACAGCAGTCGCCTCTCTGGTGTGGTGCTGCCTGCTCCCGCAAGCAACACCACCACGCACGTGTCTGTTGTGCTGCAGGTGCGCGACAGGCTTGGGGCCACCGCGGAGTCGACGGTGGAGGTGGCGACCAGCACAGCAACAACAGCCGGCACAGGAACAACCCCATCGGTGGATGCGGCTGCGTTGGCAGCCAACGTGAGTGCTGCGTTGGACGCCGGCAACTGGCCGCTGGCGGTGCGTGTTGGCGTTGAAGCTCTGTGGATGACAGGCGACTCCACAAACGCTGCAGTGGTGGTGGACACGGTCGCCGGCGTTGTCTTGGACAGCGTGCGCGCTGCCCTGTCGCTTCAGTCTGGCTCCTCATCGTCTTCCTCCTCTGCCTCTTTGACAGACGGGGAAGCAGACTTGTTGCTGTCAGCAGTGGCTGTCGTTGCAAACAGGCGTGCGTTCCTGTCCGAAACAACACGCGGTCGTGTGGGTGAGTTGACGGAACACATTGGCGCCATCCTCATTCCGGCTGCGGAGGAGGAAGGCCTGCTCAACAGCAACAACAACAACAGCAACAGCAACAGCAACAGCAACAGGCGGAGGAGGGCGAGCGGCGCTGTGGATGGCGGGTACGGCAGCAGCAGCAGCGTCACGCCCCAGCAGGGCCTTGCGATGACTGACATTTATTCGAGCGCCATTGCGCTTGACTCGTTCACGGCCACCAACGCCGCCCTCAAGGCGCGGCTGAACACACTGCTGCAAGTGATTGCGCGCGTGGAATGTCGTCGCCTGTCCTTCAAGGCACGGCCGTACCAGCTGGAGAATGACCTGTTCCACTTGGAGGTTGCCGTGCTCTCTGGCGCCAGCGTGCAGACTGTCGACACGACGCAACTCGACTACGGCAGCGACTTTGAAGCGCGCTTCGAGCGGTGGGCGTGCGATGACCCCGCCCCTGCAAGCCGGTGCGCTGGCGTGTGCAGTGCCGCTGTTCTCTTCAACGCGGACATGACAACGGCGTTTCAGGACGAGCCTGCGTTCCGTCGCGCGAGCCCGCTGCTTGACATGCGCTTCTACGACCAGACCTCCTTGCACACGGTGCAGGTTGCGTCGCTTGACCCGGCGCTGTCGCTGTTCCTGCCCATCACCGAGGCAGCGCCAGCTGGCACGACAGACAGTTCACCTCAGCGTCGCAGAAGGAGCAGCAGTAGCAGCAGCAGCAGCGATGACGTGGCTGCGCACGACCGCGTGAACACACCACATGTCGTCACCAGCAGCAACGTTGACAGCAACAGCAGTAGCAATGGCGCGAGCAGGGATGGGAGCGATGCTGTGCGCGTGCGTCGGGAAGGCCCCTCTGTGTCAGCACCGGAGTTTGAGTGTCTTGTGTATGACGCGTCGCAGCATCTGTGGTTGGCGGATTCCCGCTGCAGCTACTTTGCGCCCAACACGGGGGAGCAAGGCGTGGACCAGCTTGAGTGCCGCTGCACAGCTGGTAACCTACAGGTGGCCGGGTACTACTACGCTTCCTCAACGACGGGCGAGGTGAATGTCACGGTGCCAGCAGCACCTTCAGGTGACGTGCTTGCCTACCACCTTCGCGCGTACACATACGAAACGGAGACGAATGCCGAGTCTGCGGCGTGGCTGACGGGCTTTGTGGGCACATTCTACCAGTCCATGGTGCAGTTGCTCTCCCTGCAGGACAGTCAGGTGGCAGGCGTCGAGGTTGTGTCTGTCATCAACGGCACGGGCAACCGGCAGACGCTGGTGGTGGACTTTTATCTCGTTGAGCCTGACGGCAACGGCGGCAATGCGACGGTGCTGGACGGGTATGTTGAGGACCTCAACACCTTGATTGACACGCGCCAGGCACGGTTCGTGTACGACTCCACGACGTTTGAGCTGTACAACGTGACCATGGTGTCTGGTGGCGGAAACACAGGCGGAAGTGGCAGCAGCGGCTCGCTCGGTTCTGGCTTCTGGGTGGGCATTGCGTTTGCCATTGCCGCCGCCCTGGCCATGCTCGTGGCGCTCGTGCTGCTGCTGCAGGGGCGAATTGGCGGACGCGAAGGAAAGGCGAAACTCGGCGGCAAGAGCGTGGACGACGAGAGCACGCTGGAGATGGTTGATCTTGGACGGCGGTCGCTTGCCGCGTCGTCCAACACCAGCAGAAGGTCCTCTGTTGCGCAGCTGCTGCCGCGGTTCATGCGACGCACCAGCAGCGTGGTCATGCCGGAGCAGCTGGTGGAGGTGGACGAGGAAGGCGAGGAGGACGAGGGCGCGCAACTCACTGGCGACGACGCACGTGATCAGGTGGCCCAAACCGCCTCCACGCGCCTTGCATGGACACGGCGCTCATCCTTGTCGACAATGGCCACGGCTACAACAGCAGCAACAGGCGCTGGTGACGGTGACGGCGAGCATCAAGTGAGCGGGGGTGCTGCTTCCACTCCTGCAACTACACCTGCGCGCCGGCTCTCCGTTGCATCTGCGACGTCACCGCAAGTGGACGAGACTGAATTCAGCAAGGGCGGCAGCAGCGATCGCACTGGTGGTGGTGATGATGATGATGATGGCGCCAGCGGCACGCACGGGGCCGCACTGCCTTTCTCTCCGCGAAGCAGCGCGTCTTTGGGTGGCGATGGCCAACAACAACAACAACAACAACAACAACAACGACAGCGGCAAGACCCGCTGGCACCACTGACATCCACGACAACACCACCTCGGGGCATGCCTCCACGTGTGCCGCGACTGCCGTCGTCGTCATCATCATCCTCGTCGTTGTCGGCTGCGCCTGGTGGAACTGTGCCCGCACCGTCTGCTCTGACACTGCGACCAGCCCTTCGCGTGCCGTCGCTGCGATCGCGACAAGGCCCCGGTGGTTCTGAGCCGAGCACGCCTGGTACGCTGCCGCAGTTGCGCCCAGGCATCCGCGCACCACAGAGCTTGCCACGGCTGCAGCCACGTGCGCTCCCTCGCGTCAACCGTCCACCGCCGCCGCGTCGGCCATCCCAACAGCAGCAGCAGCGAACAGTGGTGGCACCGATTCCGGAGGAGAGCGATGCTGATGCCAACGAATCCCAGGCATGATACCGAGGAAGATGGCAGTGCTGGCTGGTGTGTTTGTCATGGTGCTGTTGTTGCAACTGTTGCTGTGAGAGAGGGAGAGGATGTGTGTGTGTGTGTGTGTGAGCGTGTGTGTTGTGCATGAACGAGAGGATGTGTTGAGTGAGAGAGTGAGAGAGTGAGAGAGAGAGAGGACCAGTGTGTTGTGTGTGTGTTTGGAATTGAACTGACTTTCAGACCTTGCCGCGGTTGGGGCAATACGCGTGTGCTTCATTTCAAACCTTCAAACAGTGTTTTCTTTCTTCTTTACACCTCATTTCCTTTTGTATGTTGCATGGAGGGTTGTGCTTTGTGTGTTCTTGTTGGTCGTCAGATGTTGGGCATCTGAGCAGATACAAACACAGAAGATACAATCTTCTTCCTGTGTCACACAGCAGGAGTTTCCATGAGAAGTCAAGCAAGCGGACAGTGGTTGGTGCGCATCAAAAACAACACAAACCACGATTTCACGCATCGGCAAAGTTGACCACGCCCCACAAACCCACACTCACACACACACAAACACACACGCGCGCGCACCCAAGCATGATGGCTGATGACAGTGAGCACCGCCTGACAGACGGCGTGTCTGTGGATGCGGTCAAGACCTTCCTCGCAGACCTGAAGAGCGAGTTCCCCGACACTTACACTGAGATGACAACGGAGGATGCCTGCAAGCAGCTTGTGGTGCCACGCACGCGCCAGGACAACTGCGCGTACGTCGATCTTTTGCGCAAGCAGTCATCACATGAACATGTGGGCAAGGCCACCGTGTTTGTGTCGCACGCGTGGCGATACAAGATCGCAGACGTGCTCAACGTGCTGCTGGAGTTTGCGGAGGAACAAAGAGTACGGAAGGAAGACAGCCAGCCCGTGTTCTTCTGGTTTGACCTCTTCATGAACAACCAAAACGCCAACATCACCGCCAACCTCCCACAAGAGTGGTGCGTTGTGTGTGTGTGTGTGTGTGTGTGTGTGTGTGTGTGTGTGTGTGTGTGTGTGTGTGTGTGTGTGTGTGTGTGTGTGTGTGGAGCTGTGTGTGAGTGTGTGTGTGTGTGTGTGTGTGTGTGTGTGTGTGTGTGTGTGTGTGTGTGTGTGCAGCTGTGTGTGCGCCTGCGTGCTATACCTCCCCGTTTCTTGCACACTCCAACTTCCTCACACACTGGCCCTCTCCTCTCCCCCCACCACACCCGCAGGTGGAGCACCACGTTCAAGGAGTCGATTGCCAACATTGGGCGCGTGCTGCTGGTGTTGATGCCGTGGCGTGACCCCGTGCCACTGACCCGTGCGTGGTGCCTGTGGGAGATCTTCTGCGGCATCAGCAACGAGGGCACAGAGGTCAACATCCGCCTGCCCAACAGCGAGGAGAAGGCGCTGGAGGAGGCCATCCGCGGCGACTTTGAAGCCGTCACGGATACGCTGGTGCGCGTGCAGGCAGAACGGGCAGAGGCCTTCAATCCACACGACAAGGATATGATCTTCGAGGCCATCCAGAACGGCGTGGGCTTTGCGGCTCTCAACCAGGCCGTGAAGGACCAGCTGCGCGCGTGGTGCCTGCACAAGATGGTCGCTGCGGTGGAGGCCATGCGGGCAAGAGGCGAAGACGAGACAGCGGCATTTGCAGCACTATGCACTCAAGTTGGGAGTGTAATGCACGAGTTTGGCGAGCACGGCAAGGCAATTGCATACTACGAGACCGCACTGCCAATTGCGCTTCGCACTGAAGGAGAAGATGGAAGGAACGTGGCCGGCTTGTACGATAGTCTCGGCATCGCATACACCAAGACGGGCGAGTACGACAAGGCAATTGAGCACTTTGAGAAGGCCCTCGCCATCAAAGTGGAGGTGCTGGGAGAGAAACACCCGAGCACAGCGCACACGTACGGCAACTTCGGCCTCCCCTACTTGCAGAAGGGCGAGAATGATCAGGCCATCAAATACTTTGAGAGGAGCCTGGCCATCAAGGCCGAGACGCTGGGCGAGAGGCACCCAGACACAGCCTTGGTCTACAACAACATTGGTGGCGCATACGAGAACAAAGCCGAGTACGGCAAGGCCATCGAGCAATTTCAGAAGGCGCTCGCTGTCAAGGTGGAGACCCTCGGAGAGAAGCACCCAAGCACAGCACAGACGTACGGAAATCTCGGCAACGCCTACTACAAGCAGGGCAAACACGACATGGCCATTGAGCACGCCGAGAAAGCGCTGCAGGTGTTTGTGGAGACGCTGGGCGAGAACCACCCCAACACAGCGCAGACCTACAAGTCCATGGGCCGCGCATATGTCGGCAAGAGCGATTACATCAAGGCAATGCAGTGCTACAAGAAGGCGCTCGCCATTACAGCTAGGACGCTGGGCGAGAAACACCCTGACACAGCAACCGCTTACCTCAAAGTCGGCATACTGCAATTCCAAAGCGGCGACGTGGAGCAGGCACGTACCTACATCCAGCGGGCCCACAGCATTTACATGGCCACGCTCGGGCCAGACCACCCCAACACACGCAGGGCTGCGCAGAGCTTGCAGCTCATTCAAGCTGGTGCGGTGAGCCGCGAGCAGAGCGCGCCGACGGAACATCAGCCTGCCTCACCCACCTCTTCACCTCAGCAACAAGAAACGACCGCCAATCGCAATCTGCTTCTTCGGTTCATCTCATCTGCTGTTGTGCACCGCTCGTCCACTGCACGGCGCAATCTGCTGTTGAGGTTTCTCGGCGCTGCCGCGCATGTTCACTCTGGAGTACGTGACCCAGCAACCACAGGCAGCGACAGTGAGGAGGAGGAGGAGGAGGAGGAGGAGGAGGAGGAGGAGGAGGAGGAGGAGGAGGAGGAGGAGGAGGAGGAGGAGGAGGAGGAGGAGGAGGAGGAGGAGGAGGAGGAGGGGCAGACAGGAAAAGCTCCTGTTTCATCTTCTCGTCAAACCGACGTCGGCGGCGGCAATGTTGCATCGACAACAGCGCTGCACGATGATGCTTGCAAGCATTCCACCCAGCCCTTGGCCGGTTGGTTGCAGAAGCGCGGGCGATGGAACACCGCTTTTCGCACCCGGTGGTGCATGCTTGACGGTGGTCACCTGCTGTACAGCACAGCGCCTGAGCGAGCAGCTCGCAGACACATCCCGCTTTCAACCGTGCAGTCAGCTGAGCTTACTCAGGATCGTGAGGAGCTGCATGTTGCCGTGCCTGGGCGAACCTTTGTCTTCCGCCTGGACGCCCGTTCGGAGCTGACGCTTGCCGACTGGCGCAACGCCATTGAGATGGGGGCGAGTGGCGCGAAGTGAAAAGAGACAGGGAGGAGAGGGTTGTGGATGCGAGGGTGCGAGTTCATGTGTGTGTGTGTGTGTGTGTGTGTGTGTGTGTGTGTGTGTGTGTGTGTGTGTGTGTGTGTGTGTGTTGCATATCAGGTTATCAGTATGCGTCCGTGATCGCCTTTTCTCTTTGCTGCCCTGTATGTCTTCGCCACCACATGCTTGATACGTTCCCAGCTCAGTGACATTAACCTCACTTGAAGTGACACCAGGCTTGTGTATTTGCACTCACTAACAGACCGAAGAAAAAATTACAGCAAGCACGACAAGCACGCTCAAGCGACAAAGCAACGCCTTACGAGCCTTCTACGCCCAGCCAAAGCACGTGGCGTGGGAACAGGGGTTGTTGTTGTTGTTGTTGTTGTTGTTGTTGTTGTTGTTGTTGTTGTTGTTGTTGTTGTTGTTGTTGTTGTTGTTGTTGTTGTTGTTGTTGTTGTCACAGCCGATCACCCTCCATTCATCACCTGCCAAAGCGCTGCTCACACCTAGAAAACGAGTTCATGGCGCGAATAAACGTGCGGGCAGTTACGTGGCGATGAGGCCCACAGAACCTGAGAAGGCGGGAGGACGTAGGCGGGAGATGAGCAGTGAGGGTAGGTGAGAGATCATGTGAGAGCGTGCGCGTGCAGTGCGGGTATGCTTGTGTGTGTGAGTGTGTGTGTGTGTGTGTGTGTGTGTGTGTGTGTGTGTGTGTGTGTGTGTGTGTGTGTGTGTGTGTGTGTGCTTGTGCAGAGCACTCGAACAGACAAACAACCAAACTACACAAGCATCAGACGCGCTTACAAGATCTCAGCAACGCGCATGTGCCAGGGCAGGAGGCCGTGAAGGACGGGTTCCCGCGAAAACATCAGCACAAGATCAAGTTCAGGCACAGTCGCTGCAAGGCGCGGATGTGATTGCATGTGCATGTGTGCATGTATACGTGTTTGCAGGTGAGTGTGGTGCCTTTCCTTTGACAGGTGGGGACGAAACGAGCCAAACTACACACATACATACACACAAGCACATACACACACACACACACAAGCACATACACACACACACACACAAGCACATACACACACATACACACACACCATCCCTCCCTGCCGACCTGTGAGCTTTGCGTCGAGCCACGCAACATCAACATTCCTCTGCAGGCGCGCCGCCTCTTGTACCGCCTGGATAGGACGAGAGCAGACGAGAATGTAAGATGTTATTGTGTGTAGGACAGCGTGGCCGTGAATTGGGCATCTCTTGTGCAGTTCACAAGGATACACGAGTTGCAGCAGGCAGCAACAGCAAGACGTGGTTGAGACACACGCAGAAGCACACACACACACACACACACATGCGCGCGTAAGAGCATGCACGCACACAGGCACACACACACACACACACACACACACACACACACACACACACACACACACAGAGGCACGCGCGCGCACACACACACACACACAGGCACGCACACGCACACACACACGCACACACACACGCACACACACAGGCACACGTACTTTGACGATGGCCGGTCTGCCTTCGTCGTCGTCGCAAAAGTGTATGCGAGTGCCAGTTCCCGACTGCACATCTGCTCCCTTGCACCCTTCTTCTTCGGGAGTTGTGGAAGCACACGGCCGCTTTTGCGATGCAGCCAGTATTGCTTCGTCAAACACAAGCGGGTGGCTTGCACACGAGCTCCCAAAGTACGCCACATGCGCCTTTTGCAAATATTGACGCAGCAGGCTCGACGATCCCTTGCACAGCCCTGCAAAATGTGTTGTGTGTGTGTGTGTGTGTGTGTGTGTGTGTGTGTGTGTGTGTGTGTGTGTGTGTGTGTGTGTGTGTGTGTGTGTGTGTGTGTGGCAAATGTGAATGGTGACAATGATGATGTGCACGACAAACACGGTGAACAGTTTGCTGACACAAAGTGCACACACACACACAGACAAATGCCACGCACACACACGTTCTATACGCACCTTGGTTGTCCCATATGGTGATGTGTTTGACGCCTGATGCCATGCACCACATGACGAGGCGGGCCAGCGGTTCGTAGGTGACAGGGCCATCCGTCACTGCCAAGCAGATGTGGGCAGGTATTTTCTGCCATCTGCGCGCCCGCTGCTGTATTTGCCTAACTGAGAGTCCCGAGAAGGCGAGTGGTAGCATGTACAGCTCACGCACGCTCCTCCATAGCCCTTGCAGCGTCGTGGACAGCCACAACACAAAGCACAGCACAGCATGCAGCATGCCATACAACATGATGGCACGTGTCTCCTGGAACACAGATGTGGTTTCTGGTTGGCACAGCGAGCTAAGAAGGCGTGTGCGTCACCTGCGCACAAGGCACTGCTAACACGCAGGAGGGGAGCGAAGAAGGGTGGTGGGAAGGGTTGCTTATGTTGTGCGATGTGCAGTTGGTTGGTGAAGCGTGCGTCGGCGGTCTGTGCTCTGTCAGACACAAAGCACAACAGCGGCAGAGAGAGAACGTGGCTTTTCTTTCTGCCCTGCCTGTTTGTTGGTTTGGCCGTGATTGTAGAAATTTGGCGAAAATGTAAACAATTTTCGGTCCAACAAGCAAGCAGAGAAGACAGACAGACGGGGTGTTGTTGGTGCTCGCTTCTTTGCCTTGTTTGTTGGAGCGGAGTGTTGTTGTGCTGTTGATGTGTGTGAAGCGGTGCTGTTCTGTGTGGATCGGACATCGCCATGACGTCGACGCCAAAGTCATTTGGAGGCGGGTTTTGGAAGAAGAGAGCAGACGGCTCCCCATCCAAGTAAGTATGCGTGTGTGTGTG